AACAGGGCGGGCGGAGGGAGCAGTTATGGCTGCTCTCAGTCCCGTTCCCAGAGGCTCTGCTTCTCAGAACCCCAGCAACGGCTGTAAACCTCGGAGAGAAAGCTGCCCTCACATTCCAACTGATGCCAGACAATCCCGCTTCTCCCGTTTGAGTCTGAGTCCCTAGAGACTCGCCCGGATCTGGAGCTCCGAGTCTGAGACTCCCTCCTGATTGAAAACGACAACTGTGCCCTCAGCCACCAGCCCGCTTTGCGCGCGCACCACCGCACCTTTATATTTTCCACACTGTGCCTCCTCTGAGCCTCGGTATGCTGTTGTCTTTCCTTCTAGTTGAAGAGTCTGTCCTCAGCCAGCTTTCCTGTGGTTCTGGGTGATGTCCGTTCCGTCTTTTAGTTGTATTTTTGAAGTGGTTGTTTGCAGCAGCAATCTCCAGTGTTTACCTTTGCCGCCATCTTGGTCTCAAGTTTGACTTGTTTGTTGTTGGTGTTGGTGGTGTTAGGGTGTGGTGTAGGGATGGAGTAAAAAAGAAAAAAACAACTATAGAGAACCCATGGACATTGACTACATTGTGGTAATCAAAACCTCTGTTTTAACAAATTTTGGCAATTTCAGTTCCAGAAAGAAAGTGGTCAAAATGTAAAGTCAATTTAAGCTGCTGTAAGAAGTCATTATTCTTGAAGTCTGTACTTATTGGCATCTAGTTTATAAACCCGTCTACTACATTTCATAAACTTGTCCATACATATTATTCATGAACCATTGAGAAATCATATTTTTAAGAAAGAAAGTGAGTCTCTAGATTTCTACAAATAATTTTCTTTAATTTTTTTGTAAAGGCTCAGCATGAAAAGGAAGCATCAAAGGAACATATGGATTTATTCATATCTCTGCAAAAGAACTTACGTGAAGTAATGAAGCAAAAGCGTTATTTAGAAAAAGAGATAACCAGGTAAAATTACATCTCAAATCATTTCTACCATGAATTAAGATTTAACTGTCACTTTACTTTATTAAAACAATAATAAAAATAAAAATTTATTTTCTATCTGTAATTTTCTTAATTAAACAAATTATCCTATTTAAAAATTGACTATAGAAACTCACAGCACAATGTGAAACTGTTTTGAGGGCCACAATATTATACTTACACTTTAATGACTTTTAAAACCATAATGAAGATGCCTTTTGCATATCCTGTCAACTGCCAGAAGCCAATTCTAGCATGTCATTGCTGGGGTCCAACCCCAGCAAGGTCCAGGGGGCCCCAAAGGTGTGGATGGAGTCGGCGAAGAAGGAATGACATGGAGGCAGTGTTCAGTTGATCAGCATAGCAAGGTTCTCCCGCCAGATTCTGTAGCCATGTTTCTCTCGCTAGGTTCTGTTTCTAGGTTCTGTCTCTAGGTTCTTCAGCCAGGTTCTCTCACTAGGTTCTATGTCTAGCTTCTCCAGGTTCTCCTGCCATGTTCTGTCTAGGTTCTGTGGCCATCTGTAGCAACAAGGTTCTGTCCAGGATCTTTTGCCATGTTCTCTCCCTAGGTTCTCCAGCCAAGTTCTGTTGCCAGGTTCTGTCCAGGATCTTTTGCCATGTTCTCTCCCTAGATTCTCTTGCTAGGTTCTGTCTCTAGGTTCTGTCTAGGATCTCCAGCCAAGTCCTGTCTCTAGGTTCTCTTGCCAAGTTCTGTCTATAGGTTCTGTCTAGGATCTCCAGCCAAGTCCTGTCTCTAGGTTCTCTTGTTACATCTGTATTTATACCAGTTGATTTTAATCCTGTCAATTTCTATTCCAAAGGTTAGGGTGTTTCTTATCTCCATTCCAGGGAGTAAAGATTATGTAGCTTAACTACCCGCCTGGCACTTAATTAAGGGGTTGTATCCCCTCCCTAACCTCAGGGAAAAATCCCCACCTGGGGAAACAACCTTTCTCGGAGAGGTGACCTTGGTTAAAACACATGGCGCTAAGGAGAGCAAACATATTAAGAACAATATGCTATATATGCCAGGTCCCTTGAAATATATGCTGTGCAGATGTTTCTTTCCTGCAGCGACTGTGTCAAGCAGCAAGGATGGACCGGCTTCTGGCAAATTCCCCCTTTTTTATTTTTTAAAGGATAGCTCATGCAAATCAGCGGCCACCTCTCAGATTGGGCCGTTTAAGACTTGGAAGAAGACTGGCAAGCAATGACAAGTGAGCATAGCTATAAACATAGTGGATGGAGCGCACAAGGAGCCCTGTTCCTGTAGAAAGTTGCGGCCTCTTCAGTCAAGGGATTTCAGCTGTCCTCAAGTTGTTGGTTTGATTGCCTTTGTTTATCTGGCTAGCGGGCGGCGTCATTGGC